TTGGTTTATACGTGAACAAAAACGTGTTAAGCATCATCCTAATTAATTTTTTGAAAATATTATAATTTGACCGAATGGCGAGCTCAAAACCGACCACTTACTAAATATTCGATCTACCAAATTTGGTAGTAATATTATTTGGAAAATGTTCATTTTTGGTTAATATATCTATAAATACGTGCAAATCATTATCCCAAAAAATATTTTAAAAATATCGTGATTTGACCGATAACCGATTTGAAACCGAAATACTGTCTTGCTGGCGTTATACATAGAAAATCTCTTCATATTTGGTTTATAGGTGTATATTTAGGTGTTAAACATTATCCTAAAAAATATTTTGAAAATATTATAATTTGACCGAATGGCGAGCTCAAAACCGACCACTTACTAAATATTCGATCTACCAAATTTGGTAGTAATATTATTTGGAAAATGTTCATTTTTGGCTAATATATCTATAAATACGTGCAAATCATTATCCCAAAAAATATTTTAAAAATATCGTGATTTGACCGATAACCGATTTGAAACCGAAATACTGTCTTGCTGGCGTTATACATAGAAAATCTCTTCATTTTTGGTTTATAGGTGTATATTTAGGTGTTAAACATTATCCTAAAAAATATTTTGAAAATATTATGATTTGACCGAATGGCGAGCTCAAAACCGACCACTTACTAAATATTCGATCTACCAAATTTGGTAGTAATATTATTTGGAAAATGTTCATTTTTGGTTAATATATCTATAAATACGTGCAAATCATTATCCCAAAAAATATTTTAAAAATATCGTGATTTGACCGATAACCGATTTGAAACCGAAATACTGTCTTGCTGGCGTTATACATAGAAAATCTCTTCATTTTTGGTTTATAGGTGTATATTTAGGTGTTAAACATTATCCTAAAAAATATTTTGAAAATATTATGATTTGACCGAATGGCGAGCTCAAAACCGACCACTTACTAAATATTCGATCTACCAAATTTGGTAGTAATATTATTTGGAAAATGTTCATTTTTGGCTAATATATCTATAAATACGTGCAAATCATTATCCCAAAAAATATTTTAAAAATATCGTGATTTGACCGATAACCGATTTGAAACCGAAATACTGTCTTGCTGGCGTTATACATAGAAAATCTCTTCATTTTTGGTTTATAGGTGTATATTTAGGTGTTAAACATTATCCTAAAAAATATTTTGAAAATATTATGATTTGACTTAAACTGGATTTGACACTACTCCAAGCATCACAATCATCAACATATGCATTGCGATATCCAATATTTTTTATATTATTAGTATTATTAATTATATAATATTTATTATTTTTGATACCTATTGGTATAGAATTTAAAATATTTTTAGGATCTAGTAAAAACTGTATTACCTGTGTAGTCTCGATAAATGAATTTTTTAAGATGATATCACTACTATCGCATGGTAAAAAATTTTTATTTTGTGAAGAGTTTGATGATAAAATGTTTTTTATTGAAAAATTAGTGAATTTTTGATTATTAGTATATTTATTATCATTAATTGGGGAAAATTTTATATTATTCAAATTTGATTTTATAGGTGTAAATTCATGCGATTCCTTAAAAGATTTATTATCATAATTACTGCTTATATCATTTATTGGGGAAGAGAATATATAATTTAAATTTGATTTTATAGGTATAAATTTAGGCGATTCGTTAATAGATTTTTTAACATAAGTAACATTAATTGGGGAAAATTTTATATTATTTAAATTTGATTTTATAGGTGTAAATTCATGCGATTCTTTAATAGATTTATTATCATAATTATCATTAATTGGAGAAAATTTTATATTATTTAAATTTACTTTTATAGGTATAAATTTAGGCGATTCGTTAATAGATTTTGTATCATAATTATCATTAATTGGGGAAAATTTTATATTATTTAAATTTGATTTTATAGGAGTAAATTCATGCGATTCGTTAATAGATTTATTATCATAATTACCGCTGATATCATTAACTGGGGAAGAGTTTATATAATGTAAATTTGATTTTATAGGTATAAATTTAGGCGATTCGTTAATAGATTTTTTATCATAATTATCATTAATTGGGAAAAATTTTATATTATTTAAATTTGATTTTATTATAAATTTAGGCGATTCATTAATAGATTTTTTATCATAATTACCGCTGATATCATTAATTGGGGAAGAGTTTATATAATTTAAATTCGATTTTTTAACATTATCCGTATTAGTTATAAAATCATGGGATTCATTAATAGATATAGTATCAAATGAACTGTCAATATTAACTATTTTATCATGTGGGTTGAAATTAAGCTTTTGTAAATAAATAAAATGATTTATAGAAATATTTAAAATATCATTGGGTATACTACAAGATGTCCACATTATGTTAATTTTTATATCAGAACATCTGCTAACATCCCGACCATATATATCAAGGGTATAAGGACTTGGGCTTAATAAATTAAATGATAAAGGGGGACAAAAAGATTTAATAGGCGTATTTAAAGCCCCACTTAAAACAAAAATAATAATCATGCCTGACCAATCCCCTATTTTAAGTATGTTATTTAAAGTATGATTATATATAAGAATAAAATAAAATACGTTCTCTCATGGAAACTGGTACAATATAATTAACATTTTCTAAATCATAAAAGTCTCTATTGAGTATGACCTCGATTGCGGCTATAATACGAAAATAAATGTGGTACGTTTCTTCACCGAAAATTGCTAATGACACAGCACGATATAGGCAATTTCCATCCCCAATCGTTTTCCTTGGTGAAAATCTTAATAATATAGTTTGTTTTTAAAAAAATATTCATTATTTTTTAAACAATTAAAAATGATTCAAATAAAAGTTTAATATAGTTCATATTATCTAATCAATATTCATATAAAAGCAGATTTTCCTTTTAAACGGCCTGGTCGAATTTTTTAAAAAAAATACCAACCCGGGTAGAATTTTTATTTTACAAAATTTTTCGGTACGGCCATTGTCTTTTTTATATTTTAAAAAATTAAAACATGGCCTGCTACATATACCCGGGGCCAAGGATAAAAGTTGTAATATATATATATATATTTATATTTACTTCAACAATATTGTTGGTTGAATTCTCTCTAATATATGCTTAGTAATTACATCAACATACCCGACTAATCCATTTGAAGAATGATACATCATAGGCACAATATCTTCACTTTTTATCTCTTTAAGAATTTCGAGAGCCACCTCAGGAGATGGCTTCTCAATTAATCTAATATAAAAAAAAATTAATATTTATAATTTTATAGAACTTACTGATTCATATAGGGCAGGAAATCAGGCATTTTATCACAAAAAGAATATTTATAATTATATAATAATAATAAATTTTAACGGAAAATATTTAAAATTATTTATTTATTTGTTTATTATTTTTTTATGCACATTGATTTTTATTTTTTTTAGGAATATGCCAAATTATTTTTTAAAAAATTATTTTTTTGAAAAAATTATAATTTTGTATAAATTTTTAATTTTTATGAAATAAAAAAATAACAGGAACCCGAGAATTTTCGATGGAGGTGAGGGGAGGGATGATTTTTTATAGAAATTATTTTTTTTGGAGATTAAAAATTTATTGTAATAAAGATTATCTGAGCTGGGTATTCGGTCATATCTTAATATTTTCAAAAAATAATTTAGGATAATGCTTACTTAACCTTATTGTTAACTTATAAACCAAAAATGAAGAATTCTACATGGAGAGCGCCAGCAACGCAGTATTTCGGTTTTAAATTAACCAAAAATGAATTTTCCAAATAATATTACTACCAAATTTGGTAGATCAAATATGTAGTAATTGGTCGGTTTTAAGCTTGCCATTCGGTCAAATCATAATATTTTCAAAATATTAATTAGGATAATGCTTAACACGTTATTGTTCACGTATAAACCAAAAATAAAGAATTTTCCATGTATAACGCCAGCAAGACAGTATTTAGTCATTGGGCCGGTTTCAAATCGGTTTTCTGTCAAATCACGATATTTTTAAAATATTTTTGGGGATAATGATTTGCACGTATTTATAGATAAATAAACCAAAAAATGAACATTTTCCAAATAATATTAACACCAAATTTGGTCGATCGAATATTAGTAATTGGTCGGTTTTAAGCCCGGCATTCGGTCAAATCATAATATTTTCAAAATATTTTTTAGGATAATGTTTAACACCTAAATATACAAGTATAAACCAAAAATGAAGAGATTTTGATCAATAACGCCAGCAATATGTTCCTTACAAACTTTCTACTATTTTTCGCTTCTAAACCTACTCATTAATTAATTCTCAAAGAAACCTCTATTTTTAAATTTTTTTTTAGGTTTTTCACATGTATTTACACCCAAATACAAAAAAAGCGCTATCCAATATTTATTCTGGTTACCTAAGAATATATTTTCATATTTATGTATTTAACGCCCTCTTATGGATATAAATTTGTTAAATTTTGTAATTGAAAAATAAAATATAAGTTGTAATAAGCTAGTAAATATATTTTTTTTCCAATAAAATTAATTAAAAATAGAATTTTAAATTATTTGATATTTATTATCAATTTTTTAATTAATTAAAAATTGATTTATGTAAAATAAATAAAATGTTTTAGAAAATTTTTTTTTAAAAGATATTATTGTTGTAACTGTTGAAAAAAAGAAGAAATAAATTTAATATAATACATCAAATGTCAGTTATTTTCTGACAGGAAAATTAAGTTTTACTTGGGGGAAGAAGAGGAGATAGGGATCACGCGGTGTGTTTCATTGTTCGGAAAAACCCGTAGTGGGAGATTGGGAGATATTGGATTTGATGTCAGCTGTGGACCTTTGGATGTCATCTGTGGACCTTTGAGAAATGAAGAATTGGATAATTATATTATATTATATTTTTCTACATATTTTATGTTAGATTGTGGTGGTTTTATTGGAAATAAAGATAATTATGTTAAATATGGATCGTTGTTAATGGTCAATGGTATTTATTTAATATTATTAGAAAGAATTATTTTGGGTTGTTAAGTTATATAATTGAGAGTAAAGGGCATTTTTATTATATTTAAGGTAACTTTTTTTATTGTTGCCAGCTGACCAAGATCGAAAGAGTGGGTTGATTCGGTTTTAAAGTAAAACAAAATTTTTGTTGTATACATATTACATAAGAGAAATTTTGACAATGCAATGTACTACAAACTATACAGATACATGAGTTTAAGGATTTCTATACTTTTATATTTAACTTAAAAGGTGTAAGATAGAAAGTATGTAATGAGTATTAGGCAGAAATATGGAAATAAGATCAGGAATTTAAGACAGTAATATTTGGTATATTATCTTATGTCTAGATGTATATGGTACATATAATCTTGATCATTATTTGGTATGCCTTAAAACTCATTGAATGGTGTTATAGGTATTCCGTCATAGGAAGCTGAAAGACCTCATGAACAGCAGGACAGAAAGGATTGTTAAATATTTAAATATGTGAAATTTATGAAAATATATATGGATATAGACTTTTGTAATAAAGTGTGTATTATTTAATTATGCATTTTGGGTTTGTAAAGGGATGAATATGTATGGGATAATTTATTATTAATTAAGGTTAATATATTGCATAGGTAACATATGATATATTTAACTATGAATTATTATTTATAATGTTAATATATTGTATAGGTAACATATGATATATTTAATTATGAATGAGAATTTGAAGGAATTGAAGTATGATGAAGTCAGAATAATATCTATAATGTTAGATGTGGATAGTTATTTTGATTTAGTGTCTGCATTTAGTGTATATATAAATTGGATAGGAATTTGTATGATACAGTAGATGGTGTATAATATTTTTTTTCCCAAATTATGAAATCTTTATATTTAATATATATATTTTTTTTTTAAATTATAAATTTTTATAAGAAGTTTTATTTGCAATTATTATATTATTTGTGTGGTATGCAATGATGTGAAGGGAAAATATTTTTACAGATAAGGTCAGCCCGTGTTGATGGGTATGCCTTGAAGTGAGAATATTGTTTAGTTTGCATACTGGGGAAAGTTTTTTTTTGTAAATTTATGCTGCATAATACATTTTTTTAAATCTTTTTAATAATTTTATAACACATCACATTTTACTATTTAATTATGAACATATTTTTAAAGAAAAGACTCAAATTATTTTATATTGTGAAGGTATATTAAAAATTCTTTACATATATACCATATAGCCCATTATATTATCAATTTTTGTTACTTTGCATTCTACATTTTTGTGAATTTGTGCTAATTGTGATGACAGAGTTAGGTAGAAATGGTATATTTTTCTTAGGATACTGAGTAATTCCTAGATGGAAAATATTGTATTTTCTACATATTATATATTTGTTCCTTCATATATAATATTAAATGTATTTATATACGTATGTATTGTAATTTTATTTTTAATCTTTGTTCGGCCAAGTTTCGCAATTATTTTTAATACCTAAAGATGGATTTTTATATTCATTTTAGGAAATATTTATAAAGATGTAGCTTTGTTTTTTTTTTCACATGATAGAATGAAAATTACATGTGTTGAAATTGCATTTCACACACAGACAATATGTTCACATTACATTATTATATGTAATATCATTATTTCTTAATTACCATGAATCATATCCAAATAATGTGTATTATAGCTCATATTTCCCAAATATCTTAAAATGAATGAATTATTATGTTTTGCTGATATTACATTGTCCATATTAATGTTGCATAGATTATAAATGCAGATACCCCAATGTACAGGTCATTATTGATAATATGTGTTTTCGCGATTATATATTGAAAGGTATCGGCGATATTATATTATAAATCATTATAAGGGAAGACGATTCGACAAATTCCCTGAACGTCTTCAAGGCGTCTCGATACAATTCCAAAAGGTGATTCGATACAATTCAAAGAGGTGATTCAATACAATTCAAAGAGGTGATTCGATACAACAACACCACAGAGAGAGGGACGCTGGGCTTGTGAAGGGTGGGCGTGTTGTAACTGTTGAAAAAAAGAAGAAATAAATTTAATATAATACATCAAATGTCAGTTATTTTCTGATAGGAAAATTAAGTTTTCCTTGGGGGAAGAAGAGGAGATAGGGATCACGGGGTGTGTTTCATTGTTCGGAAAAACCCGTAGTGGGAGATTGGGAGATATTGGATTTGATGTCAGCTGTGGACCTTTGGATGTCATCTGTGGACCTTTGAGAAATGAAGAATTGGATAATTATATTATATTATATTTTTCTACATATTTTATGTTAGATTGTGGTGGTTTTATTGGAAATAAAGATAATTATGTTAAATATGGATCGTTGTTAATGGTCAATGGTATTTATTTAATATTATTAGAAAGAATTATTTTGGGTTGTTAAGTTATATAATTGAGAGTAAAGGGCATTTTTATTATATTTAAGGTAACTTTTTTTAATTATATCATCAAATTATGATTAATTATGATTAATTGCTTTTTAGCAAGACAGTTTAGCAAGACAGTTTAGCAAGACAGTTTAGCAAGACAGTATTTAGTCATACCGTTAATATATCATTGCGCGATTGATTTTAAAAAATTTTAATCTTTTTCTTTTGTGTTGAATTATTCATAAATAAGAAATATGACGTCCAAAATAAGAAATACTTACTTTTTACATAATAAAATACAGAATATATTTAATTTTAATACATTTATTATATTTAAATTTTAATTTAATAAATGATTAAAAGAAATTTAAACAAAATATACCGCTTGAAATAAATTTATGCTAAATTTAAAATAATTACATCTAATTTAAATTGTATCTCTTAATATTAAACCTTTGTCTATATAAGAAGCTATTTTCAGTAGTTTTTTTCATTATATTATTTAGTAAAAAAAAAAAATTTGGCTATTTATTTCACTTTTATTTAAAAAAACGATAAAACACTAAAATATTAAAACAAGTATATAAACATATATAAAATTACTAAATAAAAATAAAAATAAATTTATAAATTATAAGTACCGAAGGCTCTAAAAAGAGCATAATTTAAAATGAATATGTTACCTAAAAAACAAGTATAATTGAGTTTAAAAAATTTCTAGTTGAAATTTTTGTTTAAGAAATATGGATTGGCCATTTTCGTTTGTTATGCTAAAATTTTTTCGCGAAAAGGTTTTTTCAAAAAAATATGTAGACTGTGAAAAATTGTCGTTAGTTGATATAACTATTGGCTGAAATATAAAGTTATTTAATTTTGAATATTTATTAATTTTTTTATTTTCCCCACAAGTAAGAAGGTTTAAATTAATCGATGAAGGAAAGGGGGATAAGCAGGTTGCGTCCCAAATAAAGGATATAGGAAATTTTCATACCTAACCCAATCCCCATTCTGACTTAGTTAATATTCGTAAGCCTGAAAATTTTTTTCGAAGGTGGGTGGTACAAAGGTTTAGACATCTATTAACGAAACCTCGGGGATAAGGCCATGTTTTTCTTGCTAAAATATTGAGTTTGCCGATTTTAAAAAAGGCTTAATTCGAACCGTTTAACAACAACTTGAATTATTTTTTCTACAATTATTTATATATACATATTCTAAAAAGTTATTATTAAGTTACTATAATATATTTGAATTAATATAGCATGAATTTCAGACTATATTGTCAAGATACCTTTGAACTTAATTTAATTTATATATATTATTTTTTCATAGACTTTAATATGTAAATTATAAATAGCTCAAGGTTTAACGGCAAAATTGTCTACAATTCATAAGATCGTCTAATATATAGTTTTAATGGGTTTGATAATTTATATTTATTTATTTCTAAGAAATTATTAGGATAAAAAAAGTTATATATTATTCTATGATGAAAATAGAAATAATCCAATATATCAAAATATGTTTTTTTCCCTTCCATTAAATAAAACAAGGAATTATCACGTTTAAGCATGCCATTTAACTTATATTAAAAAAGGATAATTTTCAAGGGTCACCTATTTTTTTTACCATATATTATTTCGTATTTATTATCATCTTACCAAGGTTTTCAAACTGACATAACTAGCAAAACTGGAATGAACCGATAAATTTTTGTCGGTTTATCATTATATAATAAATTTTCAAAATTTTTAAATTAGTTTTTAATGGTTTTTATTTATTCTAATTCTTCATTATTAAAGATAAGTTTAATTCTAAGAAAGGAACAAATAATAAATAATAATAAAAAGGATAATTCTACAAATATTTTCGCCTTTTATTTTAGCTCTTTTAATAGAATATGAAAATGAGTATAAAATAAATGGGGGGGGGAAGGGAGTTTACCCCTATTAACAAATTTGTCCACTTTCCTAATTTCCATTTTAATTTTATAAATATTTTTAACCAATCTAATACTCTCTACTAACCTCTCTACCAAATAATAAGCACAAATAAGAAATAGTAAATGTAAATTATTTTATAAAACAGGTAATTGAATTTTTTCTTGAAAAATGTTTTTTATTTAATAAAAAAAATTAAAATCAACCTAGGTTTTAAACCGAGCCCCTCAAAATTTTATATATTTTGTATATATGTTGTACAAACTATAACTAAAAGAAAAATGGAAATTTTACTTTCTTACATCACTTACTCGCTAAGATATAGGAGTCTAAAGAGAGATAAATATGTTTACGTTTTTGTCAAAATGCACTTTATTTTCATATACCTCAAGAATAGATTGTATTAGAATAATAATATTAATTTAAATTTTATCATATAACCTAATAATAGATCTTTAATATGACATAAATGAATATCTTAAAAAATAATCAATATTTTCCTTAGTGTACGAGTGCGTACCACAACCTTACCATTGTTCAGCTAATCCGGTAACATAAATATTTCTTCATAATCGATTGATTCAAGGCCGTAATAGACGAGTTTCTATTAGCAAATTTCTTTAAAAACCTTTTAGCTCGATAGTGTTTTTCTTGTCTTAAATTTTAATTCAACTTAAGTCATCTTAACTGAAACCATTTTTATTTTTTAAAAATAATAGGTGAATTGTTGTGTAACTTTAAATGAAAAGAATAATAATATTAAAAGAAATTTTTTTTTAAAAAAAAGTAGTGTATTTGGGTTTCTTGTATAAATTTTATTTGTAAAAATTAAAATTTTCTCTATAATGGTAAAAAATTGAATTAAAAATTTCTCTATAATGGTAAAAAATAGACTTAGAAATAATATTAGTTAAAAATTAATGTTCGTATGATAAGAATAAATATAAAAATGAATGATATTTAAGTGTACGAATGATTTATTAAACCTCTTGCTATACGTAAATATTATTCAATTAAATATTTGATTCGTAAAATTGGAGCATTGGTATTTTAACAAGAACGTGAAATTCATATTACGATGTCATAATTATTTGATAAGTTATTCACAAAATAATTTTATTTAAAATCTATTGTTACCATATGGGGAAAATAAAATAAAAATAAGATTAGACCGAACAATAATAAATCACAAAGTATT